CCATGGGGTCACGAAGAGTCGGACACGACTAAATGACGATGATGTACAATGGTTTCAAATCCTGGTTGATTGGTTTAATTGCAGTAACCATGGTTTTCAAGTCTGGATCTAATGAAAGAATATGGCTAAGTGTGGAAGTCTTCAGTTGCAGTATGGTAGAACATAGCTGAGGTCTGGTCATATCTGACTTGAGAAACTGATAAGCACAATTTTGTGTAATCAAGTCAATTTAGACTTATGGTAAGCCTTGCCAGGATTTCCTAGGAATAAAGTACTCAGAAGTGCCTTACCAGTCTCTTGGAATGGGCAGTTTAGCCAAGGTGATACAAGGCAGGTTTTTCTTCCAGGAGGCACAGTGGGGAGCTGAATTATTTCTGATATATTAGCCTGGTTAGAAATATATATAATATGTCCGACCAGACAATAACATCACAAACAGGTCAACTTTCTTTCTTTCTTTCTTTCTTTCTTTCTTTCTTTCTTTCTTTCTTTCTTTCTTTCTTTCTTTCTTTCTTTATTTCTTTCATGAACGAACGAACGAACGAACTAACTAACTAACTAACTAACTAACTAACTAACTAATCTGCTGCCTGATAGTACAATGTGCACTCTCTGGACAGTTAGGAACCTACAAATGCATAAAAATAATCCAATAAATTAAAAACAAATTAATGTGCAAGTAAACAATACAATATAAAACCAAACAATAAAATACAATAGAATGCAACATGGATCACTGAAGCCAATATAAACCAGATTTAAAGTGCAGGTCATCAAAAAGGAGGACATTAATAAAAGCCAGCTTTAAATAGTTCAATTTTTTGGAGTTTTTTTAAAAACTGGGAGGGTGGGTACCTGGCAACCTCAAAAGGTAATTTATTCCATAAATGAGGGGGCACAATAGAAAATGCTCTAGTTTCTAGTTATGACTTCTTGGCCTCCTTCAGTGGTATAGTTTTTAACAGTAAAAAGTGCAAAGAGCAGGTTGCTAACATTTTACTATCAGTGTGTTTTAAATAGGCAGAGTCCTGTAGCATAGCTTGTTGAGAAGATCTGACATGGTGCTACATTCAAAGGCTATCATATCTTACATGAAGTTTCAATTAAAACAGGATTTGCATATCCTGCTCCTTTATAGATGGGTCAAGTGATAGTTAGGTCTCTATCAGTGTGAAAATCCTCAGTGACATCATCTGGAAGGTGCCTTTTATTTAATCACCCATGTGACTCACTCTGTTCTAAGGGCACAGAGCGCCCTTGTCTTGCTGTTGCAACACATGTGGACATTTATTCATGATAGGGTAAATATCTACGGAAAACCAAAGTGGGTGAAAATCCGGTGCTTTGAAGATACCATCTGTAATATTACAAATTGCATCACCTTCCTTTATCTTGAAAGGCGGCGGCACCTCTGCATGCCTGCAGCTGTGTGCTGAGCTACCGTCTCATCATGAATGCCGAGGTGAAGCCCAGGCTTGCAACATACCTGCAAGTTCTCATCTTGCTACCTAATACTACTAAGCAAGTGCTGAAATGATGGGAGGCGGGAAACTTCTCAAAGATGCTCTGTTTACAGAAAACATGAGATACTTTTCGCCGTCCTGCTGGCTTTATTTTCACTACCCTTTGTGGCTCACCAAAGCCGGCTGAGAAGTGTTGCAATCAAGAGAGCACGTATCAGTTTACCTTCTGGTACGGAATGTGCTCAGTTCCTCTTGCAGGATGGATGCCCTTTTTGCAGAAGGTTTACCTAGAAAACACGCACATTGCAACAAAGGAGCTCTTAGTATACAAAAGATTAATGGCCAAGTCTGGTTGTGGTTTTTGGGAGGTATTTACTTACCTATTTATTATTTAAATTCACTTTATAAGTCTCATTATCTGTGCCTATTATCTATGATTGACCTTGCTGCTTATCATATTGAGCAAGGTTAGCAGCTTAACACATATTCAGTGAACTGCATGTTCTGGAAATAAAGCTTCTGGCAAAAAGAATGCATGTCCACCAGAACTTCTTTTTTTTAAAAAAAAAAACAAAAACTAAGGCTTTAAGGTTAAAACGTGTTTGTAAGGAACTCATTGATACAGCAACTGGGCAGGGGGTAAGATTCCCATGTTCCCCCAAGTAATAGAAGTATTACCATGGATAAGTTGATATAGATTTGTCACATAGTCTCCTTTCAGAGAAAGTGACCAGAATGTTCTTATCAGAGAGGTAAAATTAGGAGCACCATGCTAGGAAATAACACAAAGAATACACTGAAAGGCTCCGAAGGGAGGAGGAAGAGGCAGCAGCCAACATATTTTAAACATAAGCAAAGCTTTGTTTGAGAAGTGAATGTTTCCTATTTGTTCATTGTTAATGCAGCTTGGCTGGTACTTTTACTCAGCCAAGCGCCCTCATTCCTCTGGAACAATTAATAAGCCTGACAGGTGCAAGGATTCCACTGCGCTTTCTGTCTGATTTAGTTTGGGGTTTTTTTTCCCAAGGAGGAATTTCAACAATTTTCAAAGAAGAGGACACCTGTGCTTCAGAAGGGAGTCCTGCTCACTGAACACTCTGGAGCTGGCTCCTGTATTTCACTGTGAAGGCAGCTGCCAGTGTGACTTTTCTGTGTTAACACCCACCTTCAGAAGCCTGGAGTGACTTTTACCTCTTTGAAATCCTGTCTGTGCGAACAGAAGCCCTCCAGGTGGAAATCAGATTTCATTTAAAACAAAAGAGAAAAAAAACACCCAACTCCAAACTAATTTCATTAGAAGCTAGAGATGTTTTAGTTATTGCCACCAGAATGTTATGCATGAGGCATAATTGCTAGAGAAGCCACACTGATCATTAACTAAAAATAGGTTTCCTAGGTGAATGCTTAGCCCTGCGTCGTTAGTTATTTCATAATGAAAATACTGGACTGTCAATAGGAATTCCTTCATAGAACTGTAGCCGCAAAATATTCCAGCAGGAAGCTCCTAAAAGTTTCTGCTGTAAAAGCACCTAGAACATCACAATGGATGATATCGATAGCAGGTCAAAAACAAAAAAAGACAAAAATATTGTGGCACCTTAAAGACTAACTGTTGTATTCTAATGTGAGCTTTCATGGACAAGTATACTTCCTCAGACACAAGAGTGGGACAACCTAACAACTATTTGTACATTTGGCTAAATTAATCTCAGTTAATATTGAAGCCCTCAGATACAATCACATTTGCTTGAACCCACAGGATAGAGACTCCAAACTCAAGGATCTATAAAATGCATTCCTCAGACTAAAATACATGTCCAGTGTGGTTAAAGGACAAATTAAAAGGGCAAGATGAATACCCAGAAGCAACCTACTGCATGACAGACCCAGAAGAGAAAACAGCCAAACTCCACTAGTTGTCACTTTCAGCCCACAACAGAGACCACTCAATGCTTCATAAATTATCTTCACTGCATCCCTGATGGCAGGCCTACAGAAGCAACCTACTGCCCCAATCTCAAGTCAACTCCCCAATCTCAAGCAACTACTGAAACACAATGGACACTGAGATGGGAACTAAGCCCTTCTACAAACTCAGATACCAGCTCTGCCCCCGTATTTATTCTGGCAACACTATTACAAGATCGAACAATGTCACACACAACATCAAGAGTGCATTTAATTATTCCTCTGCCAATGTTATCTTTGCCATCTGTTGCCAACAATGCCCCTCTGCACTCTATAGGACAAACAGGACAGTCTCTGGGCAAAGCACTTAATGAGCACAAATCGAACATGAGGAATAGCAATCCACAGAAACTTATTTTAAATAATTTTAATTTAATGAATTGGACACTGCCCAAGATCTGAAAGTTGCCATTATGGAGAAGATAAATTACAGGACAAGAATCCAGGGACAGCTGCGATAAAATATATACATTCATGTAAACTCCATCTCAATGAGCTCAATCTTAGTCAAGGTTTCTTAGGCCATGATCAAATGTAAAACACTGCAACAGTTGTGTCATATGTGCTGTATTTCCCAGCTGCATTTCTTCCCCAACTAACCAGAACTACCTTACAAACGCCATTGGTGACTAGAGATAACAAATTGTTCCTGCTTGTTATCCATAGCCTGGTATGATTTAGCCACCACTCATTGTCATTGTTTAAAGAACAACGCTTCCTAGGAGGGGAACTGAACAAGGGCCTTAAAGGTCATTGCCAGCTGTGAAATGCCCCACTATAAACAACTTGTGCATAGGAAAGTCTGTTTGTTTTGGGACCATGGATAAATGTACAAATATTTGCCATGTAGTCCCACTCTTATGTCTGAGGAAGTGGACTTCTCCATGAAAGCTCACATTAAAATATAGCAGTTAGTCTTCAAGATGCCACAATATTTTTGTCTTTTTTAAAAATATTTCTTTTGGTTTTTGCCTGATATGCTAGCGCAGACTAACACAGCTTCCTCTTCTAAAGCTCCACAGTGGAGGAGTGCTTCTGGTAAACTCAGCAACTGAATAAAAACTGTAACACCCCCCTTGCCGTATTCTGGGGATCTGTCCCTACATTCTACCTCCATGCACAAAAGCGTGTCAATGCAACTGGAATGCACAGGCACCAGTTTAATGTGCCACTAATGCCATGTCATGGAAAACCGTGCATTCTTCCCCCTTCAGTCAGTGGAAAAGTTAGCAGCATTAAAAAAGAAAAGCTATCTATTTGAATTTAAAAAAAGATTAGGCAACTGCCACCATGATCACACTTCTAGGGGGTTTCAGTGAGCCCAGACCAGGGTAATTTTACCTATACCTATGACCACACTGCATTTGCAGGGCTGATGAAGCCTTCAGAGAACCAGCCACTGTGAATGAGAAACGGACTACAACTCTACTAGAGTGGTCGAAATGGCTAG